CCCCCGGGACCCGGCCGGCGCTGCCCGGCCATGCGGCGTGCGGCCCGGCGGCCTCCCCACGCCAGGCCGCGGCTCGGGTGCGGCCTGCAGGGGGCTCTGGGCCGGGCTCCGCCGCCGCTCGCCGGGACCTTCCGGGGCGCCCACCTGTTCCTTGGCCCCTGCGGCCGCCTCCCGCCGCGGTTCGGGGGGTACCGTGGGGGACCCCGGGCTTCAGGCACACCGGGAGGGCTTTCGACGGTGGCTTCGGGGCTCTGGAGCTGCTCCAGCACCGAGCAGCCTCGGTCTCTGCTGTTATCCTTTCCTGCAGTGCGCTAATGAGCTTATCTGCTCCTTCTGGGATGGAGTGTAAGCGCTGAAATCGGCGTAGATTTTACCTGTAAGTGGCCTGAGCGTTTAGGTGGCAGTTATCCAAAGTATCGTTTGCTCCTTTTAAGGTGGGTTTGTGCTTTTTTTGGCACATCAGAGCAGTTCTCTGCTTGGGTGTGTGTTATGAGAGGACTGCGGAGCCTGCAGTCTGTCAGATTTTTTGACTCTCAGATCCACCGTCAGCGCAGCAGGACACAGAGGTGGGTCTGGCTTGGCCATCTCCAGGTGGTGGGGGCAGCTGCGGGTGCGTCAGGCTGAACACACGTGTGTGTGTCTGATTCCAGGAGGCTGGGTATGTCAAATGGTATTTTGGTTCTGTTAAAGTCCTAACTGCTTTTGTCTGATGAAGTGTTTCTCTGTGACAGACCTGTATGGAAGTCTTAAAGTAGCTAATAAAGTTACTGCCGTTTGGAAACACTCTGGAGTGGCCTGTGTGTGACGTGAAAACTGAAGAAAAATTGCCCTTCTTTAGTAATCCCCTGTGATGTGCGTTTGTCACCAGCTGCAATATTGCATGTTCGAGTAACAGTAATGAATTATCATGGTAATTGTGGGCTTTTAAATGTCAGAGTTTGTTTGAGTTTGCAGTACTTCACCATGGGTCTTGTTGAAATGTCAGTTAGTACACTTCGTGAATTTTGTTTGTTCCAGCTTCTCTTTCTGGGGCTGCAAATTTTTCGCTCTACGTTAGACCGAGCGTCAACCCAGTTTAATAAAATTGTAACAGATCTATGGTTTCTTTTAACTTCAGAACTGTCAGCAGCAGTGGTTTCCCTAATTCTGGTGTTACTTTCTAAAACACAGTGGCCGCGCGGGGGTGAAGCAGCCGGGAAATACATTTTGTGATGGATACTTTTCCTTTCCTCCCTACATTAATGTTACATTAGGGCTGTGAAGGTGTTTGCAGTTGGGTTGTGATGAGGGAGACCAGAAACACCCGGGCGTTTGCCGGCAAAGGGGAGTTAGAGCATCGGGCAGTAGCTCTGCTGAGCTTCCAGCAGGTCAGTAGCCCCCCATAAGCTGAGGAGTAATGTATGTTAAATTATAACTCTACATACTTGATACTTATCCAGGGCAATAATTGGTGGCAGAAAAATCAGCCCATTGTTTAGAAATGCCTGTAGGCAGGGGGCTGTCTTCCATTTGAGCCTTTTCTTCGCAGCAGAGCAGAGGTGGTGTGTGTAGTTGGGATTCATTGTGCGGGCTTAGCTCTTGGACTCCTTCCTCCAAAGCGCATAGAATTCATGGTAAACAATTGGAAAAAAAACCTACCTGCCGTGCTATTTTCACAAAGGGATGAAAAACTTACATTTTGAACATGCTTAAAAGCAGATTCTGAATTTAATCGCGCTTGGGCAGCAGTGTAAATGCACAAGAAAGTGGTGTGATGTTTTCCTGCAGGAAGAAGTCGATGCAGCTACGAGCTGCAGCACTTGTGAGGGCTCACAGAGAACTCTGGCCACTTTCTTCTGGCTTTTAGAGTCTTCTCTTAAAAGAGGTGGCTGCATTCAAACTTAAGAGTATTCATTATTGTGATTGACTTCCTTGTTTACCAAGAAAGTCAAGCTTTGAGGCCAGGATTTCATTCAGGCTTTTCAATGTAATTGTCGGTGTGTGTATGTGCGTGTTTCTGGAGAGGGTGAAAACTGCACTAATATTGTCAGGCGTGCAAAAACCAGCCCAGTTTTGTGAGGCTGAGGAGGAGGTTGTGGTTCTTTATAGTGCTTTTCTGCGGGGTGCTGTAAATTTCAGCTTCGCTGGTACGTTCTCTAATAGAAACTATGTCTCTGGTGTGGATATTCATTCCAGCAGAGCTGTAAAGGTCTTGGTGGTGTATACAAACCTTAGTTAGCTCTGAGGTCCTGCCTTAAATTACAAAGAAAAGAGGGTTAAGTTTCCCTACCTGGGTTGGTTTGAACTGGTCAAAATAATCTTTTCCCCGAGTTTTCAGAACCTGCTCACTTTGAGAAATCATCTTCTGTGCTGATTGTTGGTCTGTGTTTTAGCTGCTCCACGAAACCGCGCTGACTCAGGAGCAGTGTTTTAATTGTACACGTGCGTTTAGTGTTTGAGGCCTCTTCTAGTAATTGCTGCAGAATGTATTTATAACTTAGTTTCACACACTTGGTTGAGGATTTACACGGATAACCTCTATTTCGAAGGAGACCTATAAGAAATAAGCTATTTAAAAAGATATTACATCATCTTGGAAGCCACCCGGGATGTCTGGTATTATGTCTTCATTTATTCAGCCTTTTCCCCTTGAAAAAACATATGGGCAAACTACTTCTGTTACACGACTTAAACACTAAGTATCAACATTCATTTCCTTCCAAGGCTTGTGTCTTATTGCGACCGTACCAAGACTCGTGTTGGAGGAAAGGCTGAGTTCAGTGGTATCACCCAAAATGACGGGTGATGTGATTTTTCTTGCAGAAAAAAGCCTTTTCCTGGAAGAACCGTGGAGAAGAGCGTCGGAAACCTCCTCGCGGCGGTTGCGTGAGGTCTTTACAGGGGAGATATTCCTTGGTTCTTTTCCCTTCGGGCTCAGTGTGTGGAGAAACCATCTCTTCCACCAAGCAGAACACCTTCTCCTTGTTAAATTGCGCTGTGTGCTCTTCGGGGAGTTTATTACCTGATGTCAGGAATAATGAGATCTGTTAGTTTTTCCTCTGTGGGGAAGCCTGGCGGTTCCAACTGGCTGTTAGAGTTGTGCTTGCAATTAAATGGTTCCTCATCCTGAATATGTAGCAACGTCTTCCTGACTTTAAATATTAGACAATAATTTAATTATTTGCCATTAATACCTCTCTGTGATGCAAACCCAGCTTTGGTTTGGGTAACAACCCATTATAGGCTGGCAGTGTGGTTGGAGTTGATTGTAAATCAGGCTGCTGTTCCTGCAGTATCTATACAGTATATATACAGGAAGGCTGGGGAGAACCTGTTTAGAAAGGCCTGCAGTGACAGGACGAGGGGCAATGGCTTCAAGCTGGAGGGGAACAGATTTAGACTGGAGATGAGGAGAGGGTTCTTCACTGTGAGGGTGGTGGAGCACTGGGACAGGTTGCCCAGGGAGGTGGTTGAGGCCCCTTCCCTGGAGATATTCAAGGAGAGGCTCGACGAGGCCCTGGGCAACCTGGTCTAGTTGGGGGTGTCCCTGCTGACTGCGGGGGGGTCGGACTAGATGACCTTTGGAGGTCCCTTCCAGCCTGGGCAATTCTGTGATTCTATGATTCTATCTCCCTTGGCCTTGCTGCTCAGACCTTCAGGAGAGGGCCATGATCCGAATTATTAATAATAAATGTGTCTGGGTGTTGTAATATGTTAAGCAGTGCGTTGGCCCGGGGTGATCTTCAGTTGACGCACGAGTTGCATGGTTAAAGATGCTCCTGTGGCTGGTTTCTGTATCGATCCCTTTACCAAAGTCCTAGAAACAAAAGCCTCTATGATGGGGGATAAATGCCCTTTCTAGAACGGAGTTTCAAAAGGCCAGGGGGAAGGTGCCAGGTGCTGCTGGAAACACAGAGAGGGATTCCCTTCGGGAGAGTCTTGGGGATTTCTCCGGACGCAGGGAAGCGTTCCGTGTGGGCGACAGTAGCCTGGGCACGGCTCTCGCTTTAGCTTTATCCTTTTCTGTGAGGCCTTAATGAGCTTATCAGTTTTGAGGAGGCTGCAGCGTGCAGGGGCTGGGACCTGTTGTACCTCTCACCGCTTTTGTGTATTTCCCTACTGTAGCTCCTCTTGATTCAAGCAGCATTTTGTGCATCCAGGTGGGGGATTGGGTTTCAGGTGTGCGGTGAGACACGTGGTGCTTGTGGCTTTTCCTAATGTGTAGGGTCCAGAGTGTCGTTACCATCTCAGTCCTGGGTTCCAGGTAAAGATTTGGGCCTGATGGGAGTAAGTCCCGGTTACCATCTCAGTCCTGGGTTCCAGGTAAAGATTTTGGGAGTAAGTCCCGATGTATTCAGCTTCTTCATAATTTTAAATAACCTTAAATGAGGCTGACTGCTTCTTGATGCTCTTTATTGTAAACAGCTGGATACACTTGAATTCACCTGTTGGAGGGTGAGGGTGTAGCTGGTTTCTTGGCATTGCTTTGCAGCTTTTCCATCCACCTCTCTCTAAAACAGCTTTTTTTCCTTGGTGGAAGCATGCTCCAGCAGCACCTGTGAGGCTTACACAGGTGTAGGCACTGAGTTTAACTAGTCCCTGTTAGCACTTTGGTCAGTTACCTGTATAGTCCTGGTCAGTCTGGTGTTGGTGGTAATACTGGAGCTTCTTTAGAGGGGGTTAAACCTTTCCATTCGCCTGGTACCCCTGGTGGTAGCGAGACCATGATAAAGTTTGAGGCTGCCAAGACAAAAATCTGAGCAAACAAAAGTAGGAGGGAGTTTGGGCTGAGGGGTCAGAGCAAGGGGAAGGGCAAATTGCCTTTCGATTGTTAATTCCTTGAAACTCCCCAGTTGCAGTGCTGAGGGCAGGAGTCATTCGCTTTTAAGCTGTAATTTGAGTGTTTATTTCGGCAGCAGTGACAATTTAAATAACACCCACTTCTTATTCCTGCTACGTGCATCCATTTGATGTGTGCTGGGGCAGCTGTTTGCAGGCTCAGGTGGTGAACTGATCTGGGGAATCGATCAGGGTTTAAAAAAGAAAAGATAATATTATTATTTTTTCCCAGGTAGTTTTTGATGCAGCTCCATTACCCGATAAAGCTTCCGGTGCATCGCTAATAGTGCTGGTGCAGGTGTGGCAGCAGAGTTGGGTAATAAAGTGTTTAAATAAATACAGAAGCTGAAAAGTGGAGTGGTGTGTGCTTCCTCCCGCTGCCCTAGCAGCCTGGCCTGGGGTCTCCTGGGAGAGAGGGATGTGTCACCTGGAAAAGTTCACCCGTCTGTGCCCTGAGATGAGGGTGGATGCCTCCCGGTCAGGTTTCACTTGGAGAGGCTTTGCTGTCACTGTCCCTTGTGTGTGGTTCAGAGGTGTCTGGGATCCTACCCTGTGCTT